CTGCTTTAGTTTGTGGGATTTACCTGGGAGAGGTTTAATCGAGGTCTTTCTCTCAAAATGAAATTATTCCATAATTTTCCTAATTTATTTTTCTGAGTAACAGTCAACTTGTTTGTTCCAGTTGCTGTCTTCTGTAGGTAAAACATTGAGAACGATTAACCTGTGAAATAAAGAGAAATCCAAATTACCCATTTGAAGCGATGACCAATAAGTATCCATATCTGTCATTACTGATGTTTAAGCTCTTCTGCCGCTTCAAATTGATTTCAAAGTGAAGACTAAGAGACTTTTTAACGTGCAGCTGAACCGAATAAAAGAGCTGATGTGAGAGCTTTGGAAATAAACTGATTTTATTGTCCTTCAGTCGTCAAGATGTGGTCTTTGTCTTTCCAGGTGTTCTGGAGCTGATTGCGATTTCTCAGGGCGTCATCGGCATCAGAGGGGTTTACAGCAACAGATTCCTGGCCATGAATAAAAGAGGACGGCTTCACGCCACCGTAAGGACTCCACAAACCCCTCGCATGTTTCCCAAAACGGCTTCTGATGGGAATGTTGCAGCATCAGAACCTGATTAGATTTTCCAGAGACTTCCGCTGACCTTCCCCGTCCTCTGGTTAAGATTCTCTGATGTCCTCACCTTCATCGTCCTCTCCAGGCCGCAAAAACCACCTCAAGTGGAAGAGTGTCTGTTTTGCTGCTCAATCATTCATTATGTTTATCTCACAGGCCTCTGCATAATGCAACTCAAGATTCTGTTTTTTTTTTTTTTAAGGCCAAAACGTATCAGCAACCAACTCCTGACCAGGACCAGCCTCACTGCAAAAACACTTAAAAATCTTACCAAGTATTTTTGGTCGAGTTTCCAGTGCAAATATCTCAGTATACTTGAATCAAGACGAAACTAGCTTAACTGGTAACTAGTACTTTTCAGCAAGAAAAGTACTAGTTACACTGGCAGATTATTTCACTTACAACTCAAAATGCAGATCTTTTAGTATCTTAGCATTCAGTTCACATTTACACACAAACTGGTTGGTGCATAAAATTCTGTAACTTAAAATTTCCTGCGTAGCGTTAGCTTAGCCTTTGCTCATGAAACGGTGTGTAAGACGGCCTTCTACGGTGGCTCAGTGGATCTGATACACAACAAATAATGCAAATAGGAGCAGCAAAAACGTACAACTTCAGAGTATTTAAAATCAATTCCTGATCATTTTGAATCGATTCAGAATTCTCAGATCTAGGAATTGCGATTCTTTCTGCATCTCTCCATGTAACCAGTTCTTTTTCATCAATATTAAGGAACTATTGACTCTAAATGATGACTCCACAATATCTCTTTGAAAAATTACTTGGAAGTTTGTTTTGTCTTATGTACCAAGTATCTTTGGTCTATAACTAGACCAAAGATACTTGGTAAGACTTTCTGTTTTTGCATGGCAGCAGGAATACTTGTTCTTTTATCTAACATTAAATCATTGCCTCTCCTTCCTTCATGGCTACAGCGGAGCATCCTTTGCTCATGAAACGGTTCTCCATGGAATCCCTTCCTGCTGCAGCCATGTTTGTTTTATGAGTTTGTTCTGCTTGGCATCTGCAGCAGAAAGTCACAGAATCTGACGTAAGCATGTCATGGTGCTCGCGCTCTGCTGTAATCTTTAGCCGCTGTTTTGGAGGTTCTTAAATCCCCCCGAATGCACAGCAAGCTGAAATCTTGCCACAGCAGCTTGGCCGGCCGACCAGTCAGCGGTCAGAATCACCAGCAAGTCATCTGTGGGAGCCTTGGCAGGCGAACAGATAGAAGCGACTCCCGGTTAGCGAGTGTTAATGGGAAGAACAGATTAAGTCCAGTCTGGGACGTCTGATAATATGCAGCGGAGTGAGCCACGAAGTGAAAATCAATATGGCGGGTAAACAAGCAGCTGGAGGGCAGCGGGCTCAGAGCCGGACGGTCTGCTGAGAGAGTCGATGCCCAGCACAGGCGACTTCTGCCGCTTCAGCTCCTCGTACTGTTTCAGGAAATCATGTCAGTGGGAAGGGATGAGCCGTTATTCCTCAAAGTAAATATTCAGTTCCACTTTTGGGATAATTTGAATATCACAAGCTGTGTTTCCATCAGAAATGTGTTCAAAACTCTGTTGATAATGTTGGAAAAAAAACACAATTTCATATGCTGTTTCCATTAAATACAAAATGTAATTAAAATCACTCATGAATGAATTTGTTCATATAATAAGTCATTGAAAAACACGCTGAGCAGTCATCTTCCTTCTATTTCCTGCCGTCTTCTTCATGGTTTCCACCAGTAGTAACGTCCAGTTGCTGATCATGTGATGTTAAAAATGTGCTGCTTCAGTTGCAGTTTTACACATACATCTATTTCAATACTGCTGAAAAAACACTTTTTACAGAAAAACATGATTTTTTTAAAAAAAATATGTTTTTCCATTAAGCCAATTTCGAAATTCCACTTTGTACAACTTTATGGTCAATGGAAACGCAGCTGGAGTTCAACAGATGCTTAATTTGAGGTCTGAACCAGACAATGACATGATGTAAATAGCTACAGTAACCACAAATAACTATTAGTCTTCCCACAGATTTCTTCCATTTGTGATTTTTTTTTTCACGACTAAATTATTTAGATCACTAAATACACTTTAATATCACACAACAATAGCGGAAGGAAACAAAAAATGCAGTTTATAAATGCTTACTGAATTTATCACTTGCCTATGTCAGTGTTGTCCAAACTCTTCCTACTTGGCCTTTGCACAGTGATATTTAGCTATCAATGGCTTTTTTGAACTTATTTAAATCAGGGCATGATGTGCTGCTTTTTGAGATCTTTTAGCCTACTTCCTGATGTCATGCAGGTTCTTTTGAAGTGATTTTTTGATGCTTTTGTGGCCTCATTGTAACTGGTGAAAATTATTCAAAAAATGTGAGTAACCACAATTAAATCACGACTTAACAGCAGGGTAGTTGTATTTTCAAACAGAGTGGTTTGGACTCCTGTTCCTTAATGTATAAAATTATTGGACAACTGTTCTCATAAGGCAACAACTGGTGAAAATGTGTTTCCTATTTCACATTATGAAGAGCCACTGCAGAGCAGCAACAGAGCCAACCTCTCTTTACCTTAAAGACCTCAGTTGGTAGTTTTTGTTTAACCTTGATGGTTTGAAGAATGATTCAACAAAATAAATTTCTTATCTGCAGGAGCTTTAATATTGGCATTTTAGATGAGTAGCAGAGGTTTGTTTCTTTCTTTCTGTTCTAGCCAGAGGAGCAGAGATCCCTCTGATAAATATTTGCAGAAGTAAAACTCCAATCTGGTGTTTATGGAAAACCTCAGGCCTCTCAGTCATGTTACATTCTTCATCCTCTGCATTCGTATCTTCAACAGCAATGATAAATCTAAGCTGAAACACGAGACAAAGAGCCTCAACACCAGAGAGCTGAGATAAGATCAGATGTGAAGAAAGACATAATTAGGCAAGATTTGTTGAGTCATACAGGTTATATGAAAAACAACAAGACTGCAGCTGTGCTTCAATTGACCTTCAAATTTCCGAATTTTCAATTATGAAAATAAATGGAAAAACAGTCATTTGGAAAAACTCAAAATTGGAGTGAGGATGAAGAGACTTTTCGGCTGACGTGAGATTATTGTGCTTTGTACAACTCCAATGAAAATATAACAAATAACTCATGTGATCAACAACTGGATGTTACTACTGGCAGAAATGACAAAGTGGACGACAGGAAATGGTGGGAGGATGATGACGGAGCATGTCTTTTAATCACTCACAGCGTGAATAAACTTATTCATGTGTGATTTTAATTGCTTTTCTTTTTTAATGGACACACAACACTTGCAAAATTGTGTTTGTTCAACGTTAGCGGAATATCAATAAAGTTTTTCACACACCCAACTAACTAGTGTTAGATGAAACATTATAAGATAAACTGAAAACAGCTTAGATTAAATGGATGAGATAAGGAATGACAACACAAGATATTTAGAGTTGAGATTAGATTAGACTGAAATAGGGAGATTAGATGATTTAAAAACAATAAGACAAGATGAGAATAGGTAAGAAAATACCTAACCAGGCATTCGATGAGATGACATAAACAATATTAGGAGAAAATTACAAGACCACACAACAAGAAATAATAAGGAAAAGATAAATTAATATTTTTACTAAATTAACCTTTATAAGAGCAACATTTCTCACCAGGCGCAGGAAGAAAAGGATCAGTTCACATTTTCTCTGAAAGATGTCCCGTCAACTCCCAGTCTTCTGCCAGATGGCAGAGACTGAAAAGATAAGTGAACGGGGCGGAGGGGCGTCATCACAGATCATCATAAACCCAAGCTGATTTCCTTTGCAATGTTTGATGAAATAAATTCATTAGTGAGAGCTTGTTTGAGCAAAAGAGACGTGATTGTTTTCATTTTATTCAGATTCAGACGTTCCCTAGAAAGAGTTTTTTCCTCCAAGCTGTGCCTGAAAATCAGAAACTTTCAACCCCAAAGATGTGGCATTACAGGCCGTCAGAGTAACTTTAGTACGTTAAAAACATCTCTGTTCTGCAGATGTAAATATAAAAACAAGGTAAAACTTGTGGCTCGTGGGAAAATGTCTTGACGAGTGTGACCAAGCTTTAGGATTCAACCAATCAGATCTGTGGAATCCGCCTGCAGCTAATGAACCCGTGAAGGCCAGCAGACGCGGGGTTTCTCCTCTGCCTACGTGCCTGGGTGTGAGAGCTCATTGATGCACGCTCCGGCGGCTTTGTTTCCAAATGTCGAAATCCCTGACTGGTACCAGAGCTGGTATGCTGCTCGGTTCTGTTAAACCGCTTCATTCCAGCTGTAGCGACGACTCTGCAGCGCCGAGCAATTTTCTAATCATCTTTTAAAAACAACAGCCCAAAGGAAGCGTTGGTCACTTAGAAAAACTCAAAGGGTTGTAGTGTTCCGCGACGAGCCGCACCGCGCTCTCCTGTGACTGGCATGTTTACCGAGCGCTGGAATGGCATCATTTTCTGCTATGCTGCGTTCTTCAGCAAAGCAGAACTGCTTGTTTTTCTTCAAAATGCCATGAGGTTCAACAAGAAAAGTCAAAGCCCTGCAAGAAGGAAAGCATCTGTACATTCTGAAAGTTTCCCATCATGGATATTCTTAGGTACAACAGGGAACACCTAATGGGTTTGTTTCTTTTCGGTGGTGTTCTCTGTTTTATGAGAACAGAACAAGTTCCCCTCAAGGTTTGGTCCAAATTGTGAAACATTTCCACTTTCTAAAGTCAGAGTCATTTGTGGAGCAAGTACAGAAATGCTTTGAGAATGTTTTATCTGAAAAGCTGGGATTTTTAATATGAATGCAATAAATACACTAAAAATTTACAGCTACATCTGTGTAAGCTAACCTCAGGTGTAAACCAGATTACACACTAATTAGAGAAATGAACTCAAGGACTTTAATATAGAAGAAGGATTTTAGCAACCATTTTCTGCTAATCGAACACCTTGGTGTGTATAAAAAGCAGGAGTTTTGGATGTTTGTTGCTCAAATTATGGGCCAATATCTTAAAGTCAGAAGAGCTCTGGGCCCCAAAAATGCGATTAAATGGGAAAAAAGGAAAAGAATAACTGATTTTTGACCTAGTAAACTTTAAATTACTAGCAACATGATGTATAAATTATTGTTGATCCAAAACATAAACAGGGTTTTGCAGAATTGTATCAAAAGAAACAAACACACAGTTTACAAATTTAGGGGGAATGTTGACTGATTATTTTCTTTTCTGCTCTCAGCAACAAGAATAAAATGTTTTTTAATGTTTGCTATATTTAGCTAAAGTTAAATAAAAGCAGATTTGACTGCGCCTAGTAAACATTGCTGGATATAAGTGGTTCTATTTACAATAAAAAGAAGAAAAAAATAAAAACTGCGTGGTATTTAACATTTTCCATTTTAAGAAGAGTTTTAACTGAGTAAAAATGAAAATAATTAAATTAAGTCTCTGAGAAGGAGTCAGTGTTCTGCAAACATTTATTTTAAAAGGCGACTTGTTTGAACTTAAACCTGCTAATACCTTTAATTTTCTCTCTTTCACAGGAATGGTTCTCAGATGACTGCAAGTTCAGGGAACGTTTCCAGGAGAACAGCTACAACACCTACGCCTCTGTAATCCACAGGAACCAACGGACCGGTCGGGAGTGGTATGTTGCCCTCAATAAGCGGGGGAAAGCTAAAATGGGCTCCAGTCCGCGGGTCAAATCCCAGCACGTCTCCACCCACTTCCTACCCAGGGCCAGCCTGCATGACTTTACCCAGAAAGGCTTCACCATCACAGAGCGGAGCAAAGAGAGGAGGAAAGCGCCGCCACCGTCGCCCCCCAGGCCGCCGGCCGTGATCCCTAAAGCCCCACCTGGACCAGTCCAGAGACACAGACAGGTCAAATACTGGCCCAAGTTCAGGTTCGGATAAGTTTGCAAAGGAGGGACTGGAATAATAAACTTTAAACAAACTGGACAAAAGTCATTTTTGATGCTCAAATCATTCCAGGATTCTGTAGCATGGAAAACAAACCCAAAGTTGCTGCCAGGAACACTCACTCAACCTGACGCTCGGATCTGTGGTGACGGGGGAAGTTTTCTTTGCACTTAACTCTGTGTTGTTCTGTCCTGTTGTACATCATCATTAATGTTCTGGTTATGATGCTTAGAAAGCAGAAATCCTACCTGAACACATCAGGTAACAAGTTTTTGTTTTTATATCGAATGTTACACAAAACTGTTTTTTATGTCTCAGATAAACATCTTGTTTTATAATTTTTACATATTAAAATAAATCATAAAAAGCATGGCTGCATTAAATCAAATAAAGTTGGTTCACAGGATGAGGATTTGATTAATCCTGGAGACGTTGGTGTGGATCCAATCAGACGCAGAACTTTCCAACCAGGAAGTAATCATTTCCCCCGAACGGCCCTGGACTGACTGTCGGTCCAACGCATGTTCAGAGAAATCCTCCATGTCCTCTGGATAAGAGAAATAATACAAAAATTATATATTTTAATAAATATGAAATGACAAATCCATTAGGTTTCACTCTTTACTTCACACACTAACATGACCTTAAACACATGAAACAGCTTTGGGTTGGAGACGTAGATTAATCTGGTGATTTGGAAACTAAAGTATTTGATGTTCTTATGTAATTTTGTATCACGAGAGTAATAAATAAACTGTGCGTAGGCTAATGTAGATTTGTGATTTTCCAACATCAATTGTTTGGTAGCAAGACAAAATCTCCAATAATAAAAAGTGAGCACAAACAAACAATTATTAGCACCTTGGTAAAGAGGATTAAAGGTCCTTAAAAACAGCTTTTGTTGCTGGTTAACCTGAAACACATATTTTTTTTCTTTTTTGTAAAATTCAACCTGTAATTTAAGCTAATTTTAAGAAACGATTGTCTTTTGAAAAAGTAACTAATGGCACACTTAATGGAACCCTATAAAATCAATGCAACATTTTTTTTTTTTTTTTTTTTGCTTTTTAAAATTGCTAAGATTAACTAGTAACTTTTAATTATTAACCCTTCACTTCCTGTTTCCCTGGAATATAAATGGCACAGCTTTGGCCAGTTTCTTTTAAACACTTTGATTTTTCTCCATGCTAAGGAGAGTTACCACATCTCCACAAAATACCTTCAGGGACACCGTAGGAAGTTTTCTACAGACCCACAACTTGTGTGTGTTTGCCTGTTGTTGTTTTCACAGCAAGTTGTATTTGTATAAACAACATTAAGCTGCAGACACCCAAACACAGGAAATACAATCAAACAAAGCTTTAAGTTATTACATACTTGTCTGTGGTTGTAGGTTTCAGCTTTAATAGAAAACTCAGATCATACAAACCATAAAGTATTTTTCTTTAGCTCCATCATGGCTCCCAAAGACGACTCCCACCTGAGACACTGACCAGCGGTCCCTCTAACACTGAATCTGTTACAATCAGGCTGAAAACACTGAGACTCCCCTCTCAATGTGAAAGGTCACAAAAACTCAATTCATCTTGGAGACCGGCTGTCCCTAAAAAAAAAAAAAAAAACAGAGTCCTGACCTCAGGACATTCCCTCTCTGTCATCAGCAGAGGGGTAAAGATGCTGAGGAGGGTTGGAGCCGAAGTATCAGATGGCAAACAGCCGCGGACTGACTGTGAAGGAAGGAAACAAACAGGAACTGACTGTGAAAAAATGTAAAGTAAAAGGGGTTCCCTAATAAAAAGCATAATGTTTGCATTAATAACCTGTCCTGCCAGATTAATTTGGATAGTTTTTATTTTCAAAACATTCATTAGATATCAAAAAGCACCACAAACGCATCATCGCCTTATGTCAAACTGTCAGAAACTGGGATTTTCAAAATCTGGTTGTCTGAAGGATTTCCTTTGGTCCCTTCATTTTAAAGTGTTTTATTCTAAGACTGTTATACATAAAGATGCATCTTTATATATATATAACAGGAAAACATAAAAAAAACAACCCAATTTCACCCTGTGATATATAAACTCTGAAACCTGGAGTGAATTTAAAGAACAGTGTTAGTCCTACTACAGAGAGGTACATGTTCTGTGAAGGTAAACAAAAATACCTGGGATTTATGTATAAGATACTTGCAAAAAATATCCAAGTCCTGCAAAATATTCCTTTTGTTTCCACACTTGAATGGGAAAATCATTGAAAAGTTGTTGGTTTTTTTGTTTCTTTTCCTGATGAAAGTGACGTAAAATATTCAGCAGCTGTAGGTGTTTGTTTTCCTCAAGCATGTTAAAGATTACAGCTGTTTTTCAGATGTTTTTTAAAGAAAACATCTGCATAATGGAACATTTTTAATGCAATATAAATATTAAAAGTTTTTGTGGATGATCCTGTCAGATGCTGGACAGGGCATCTGGGAAAACGATTCACTGTGTGTGTGTGTGTGTGTGTGTGTGTGTGTGTGTGTGTGTGTGTGCGTGTGCGTGTGTATACTGCTAACTCGTTTCTATGAATGCCTAATTGCTTTCCAGGCTTTTACTGAAACATTAGAAGATATTATATCTCACTGTAATCCCAAGGTGGTATTTAGAGAGGGCCTCTGGTGCTTTAATGACAGAAAGATATGTGTGCTGACAGGTTTGAGAGAGTGGATCTTATCCGAAACCTTTGGGACCATGACGTTTTTTTTTGTTTTTTTTTTGCTTTACATTAGTGTAAAACATTCCTGACTCTGTCTCACTCACCAGCATCCTCCCTTTGCTGGCAGATGTGCAGATCGGTGGGATTTCTCCTCTCTTGGAACATTTGACCTCATTAACATTTGAAGTTGTTCAATCAGAGAAAGAAAACATTCAGATTCTCTTCTTTTGAAGGTGATGCATGAACAGCCAAAGGTTACCCTGAATATCCAACACTTTCATGGATGTTTAGAGGTTTGGAAAATGTTTTGTTGGGCGTTTTTTTTTTTTTTTTTGACTGGAGTTGTACATGATATTACAGTAATCAGTCAAAGAAGGAAATAAAAAGAGAAATATTGTAGCAAAATTACATAATCACAAGCAAAATTCTTCATTTACCATATTTTCCTCTAAGGCAGCAAGGCAATCGTTTAATATTTTAAAGTTATGATAGAGTTTCTGAAGTTTTTATTTGGGCTTCAGCTGCTTTTTTTTACCTCCCTTCCTCCCATCAACACTCCATCAATAATCTCATTTAGTAGCCAAATATGTAAAAATCACATAATTGAACCCGCTGCTTCTTTAGGTTCAACTTTAAAGACTGTCACGCAAGCATCGTCTCATTTCTGAGGTCAGCCAGTGTTTTCTTACCCAGAAATAAAACCCCACTTAATTATTGAACAACCCAATGAAAAATAAATGTGTAACCTGTGCCGTTCTCATTCTGAGCTGAACCGTCTTCTGTGCTCTTTTGCATTGCATGTTGTAATGACAGAAGATTTCAGGGATTTGGTTCTGGAGCTGATGTGCAGATAAACCAGATGCTGCCTCCTTATTTTTCTGCTCTTGGAACAGAGAATGATCAGGAGATGAATTTACCCCAGCAACCATTTATTAACTTATAGACTTAAAAACAAGATTTCAACATCCTTCATCAGTCAGTCTGTTCATTTTTCAGTGTTGGTCAAGAAAAATCCTCCATGACTTTTTCCTTCTCCTGACTGGACAAAATTATGCCATTGAAAATGTAAGTCGTAGTCCATAACTCCCCTAAGGTTCCTGACCTGCTCAGTAGTTTTCATCTTTGCTGGGTGTAGCTGAATGTTGATCTTTAACTTCTGAAGCAAAAAAAGTAAAATAAAATTCTGTCTTATATTCATTAAGTTGAAGAAAGGTTTTTTCACCTTCTTTTGGACAGACTGACTCAGAAAATGTAAGGTATTCTGTTTATGTGGTGGCAAAAATGCAGAGCTGTGTTATCAGCATATATGTAGGGAAGGTAAGACATGTTGTATTTGGAAGAACCTTTAGAAGTTGAATAAAAGTGGCCCAAAAATGCAGCCCTGAGGAACCTCATGTGATCTTTGTCCACCCAGATTTACCAAATGTTACCAAATGGCAAAAAATAGTTTGTAAGCCATCATCTGAACCAGGGTACTCCCGTATCAGCAGATTACACCCATTGATCCAGTCCATCAGTCAATAATGTATTAATTGATCAGCAGGCGTAAACAGTGAGCAGCAAGTCTCTGAAACAGCTGAAGCCGCCACCTTGAATCATGCTGCTGATCTGCAGATCCCAAGATGAACCAGATCCAGTTCCTACGTCAGACTGTTTTTCTTACTTGACCAAACCAGAAGAAACCAGAAAACTGAGTCTTAAATATACATTGTGGCAGTAAATGACAGTCACAGGACAGGTGTGCTGATTTACAAATTAGGATCAGGTGAGCCGGGGGAATCAGTTCAGGTTTAACAGTCTACCGTTTAATCCAGTGTCAGAATGTTGACTATCTCTGCAGATGATTAACCTCTCACTGATACATTTTCATGTCTCTAGCAGATTATGTTCCATGTTTTTCACTGAAAAGGCAGATTTTTTTTCCACCGTCCACCAGGGGGTGCTGCAGCAGCTGCAGTCTGAAACAAGCTGCATTCTGTCAGCCTTTGTTTAATCCTGTCTCACAAACAAATCTAACTTTGGATAAACGAACATGATTAAAGTTATGGACACTTAACTCCTTTAGCAATTTGAGGTTTTGGTCATCTCTGGCCCTTTTCCTGGTTCTCCATTGTTCTGTTCTTAAACAATTGATAGACCGTGGACACTGCCAAGCAGACACACCTCACAAGAGCTGTAGTTTTGGAGATGAGCTGACATAGTTATACAGCCAACACAATTTAGCCCTTGTCAAACTGGCTCAAATTCTTACTTCTGGTACGTTTTACTGTTTCTAACTCATTAACTCTTCACTTATTCAGTGCATTCTACCTGGTAACAGGTTCTATGATAAAAAGATAGTCAGTGGTCATACTCTGTAGGTACATGTCGAATGGAAACTGTGAACCTTTATCCTTTAATAGTTGTAGAGCACCTTAAGACCATAATTGAGATCACTTCCGCTTCTCTAAGTTGCTATGGCAGCACTTTCAAACAAAAGATGGAGCTTAACACAGCCGAGCGCTTTTACGATTTCCTTACTAACTTTAAAGACTATGAAGATTATCTGGACTCTAAAATCACTCCTACGGATTTATTTTATTTAAAAGTAAGTAACCCGGGCTCCGAATATGGAATTAAAACTCATATCCATGCCATGTAACTGTGCGGTTGGAAGCATTTCTTTCTCTCTGATTTACCGGAACCTTCTTTTCATTTCGCCATGTTTTTAACGTTACGCATCACTGTAAGAGCAAAGTTCACACCAAATGTTCGGAGGAGCGACAAGCCGACAATTGTCGGGGAAAAAAATGTCTTTATAAGGCTATTAATGTTTTCCCTCATTATTCGTTCGCCTTACTGTTCAAAAAGCTCGCATCATTTGCTTGGTGAGGTATGAAATAAAAATTTGACTTATAAATGAAGAAAAAACGCTGCTTCATTTATTATTTTTATGTGGAAAAATAGTTTGTAGTTATAACTCTCACGTTTAAAAGTTTTGTTGCAGTAACTGCTAACGCACTCTAGATGGCAGCCACACACAGGTTCAACCAGTTATTTTGAGTCGAGTAAATCCTTCACGTGAACAAGCAGGTTGTAATTTTTAACTTCAGTTGGATCTAACCAATTATATGAACTCACCAACTGGTCATATTTGTGTTAATTTCTGCTCTTCTGTTTCAACTGTCCATTGTATGAAAGTTTATTAAACGGAACAACATGATTCTATCTATCAGTGTGCTGAAAACCTTATGAGGATTAAAATGAACAGTTTTGCTTGTGGCCAGCAGATGGCACACCTGCTAATGATATATGGAGTCTCTTCAGCAGTCAGTTTGTTTGAACACCTGTGTCCACAAAGAGAAGAGACCAACTCATATCTGACCTGCTAATCTGCTGCACTCAATCCAACTCAGTCCACCGTGTGTTGTGACTCCAGGTCACAGGTCACCTAACCTCTGCAGAAAGGCAGACCTCTGATAAATCAGCTTATTATAAACCTATTTGTTCACATACTGCGCTCTTTAGATCTTGTCAGAGTGAATGCTTTATGCTCAGAGAACTGAAGAAGTTAAAAAGGCATGTTCTAGAGTCAGAGTATTAGTCCAGGTACGGTTCTGCTGCTTTTAAATAGACTGAGTCAATGAGCCCCAGAATAACGACACAGATTTTTAAGCCAATTTTAGGAGCGGCACATGTCTGAAACTCATTTCTGGTGCGCCACATCAAAGTTAGAGGAAAATAGAACTTTTCCTCTCGGATCCCAGCTGGGGTTTTGGGTAAATGGACATGTGGCAGATGCTTTGATCTAACAAGCCACTGGATTTGACGGCAAGATTAGCTTTTTAGATGATGACTTTATGGCTTGGCTTCAATGACGGTGGGTCTGCAAACGGTGATTAGAAAAATCCACGCAGAAACACACTCGCTTGCACACACACACACACACGGAAACACGTGCACATTTAGAGCATGAATGAGTCTGAGAAAAGGCATCAAATCACACACACACACACACACACACACACACACACACACAAAAAGACAAATTAAACCTTGTGGTGATGCATAGCAGGTTTTGTGCTTTATAACTTGGGTGTGGTGGTGAAATAGCTTAAATCCACACACCAGCATGACAAACAAATTCCAAACATTGGCTAAAACTGTGCCAAAAATCCAAGATTGGCAATTCGTGACGATGTCCAGCCCAAACTGCAGGCCTTCCTGTCTCTCGCTGCCTGACTCCTCACCTTTCCTTGTCTCTTGCAGAGCAGGGAGTTGGCCCGCGAGCTGGTGGAGCACAGCCACAAGGGCATGATCCTGAGCAGGGAGGAATTCGAGGAGAGGAAAGCAGCTGCAAAGGCTGCAAAGACTGAACAGAGCAGCGTTTTCTACAGCAGGAGCCGCCCAGTGTGAGTTGGCTTCTCGGCAAGGCGTGCTATCTGATTGACTAACAGGATGCACATGAACCACCTGTCAATTTCACCAATATCTCAAATTCTTCTTCTATGTCAGAGAAGTTTTTTTTAGCATAAGTCCTTCTTACACAGTTGCTCAGTAAAATATTGAGGTTGTATTAGTAAAACTTAAATTTGTAGAATTTGTTGGGAAATACAAAATCACCCAGAAAGATTTTGGTATGTTGGTAGCAAAATTTTACTCAATTTACAATTTTACTCAAATGACAGACATAAAAACCTGCCAACGTCAGACAAGCAGTACTGTTCGAAGCTGGACCAAGTCTCGACTCTTGGTCACATACTGACCGTTCCAGTTTGTGCTGTGGTTTTTTCCCAGACCTAGAGAAGGCTTCCAAATTTGCCTCTAGAGATTGTGGGTGAAGATGCAGGGATGCCTTGGAAGTTTATGATATAACTGGTTTCTTGGTTATATCAAAGCGAGATCTCTGCCTGAGTTTTGTTCAGGGCATGTTAGGTTCTGTTCCTGTTTGTGGTGTTCAAGGACAAAAACACAAGATGTTGAGGTGGAGTAGAAGAAGTCTGGTATGGAAACATCAGGGTCTCATCTTTGCATTTTCAAAATGCCATTCTGTTCACAGTCCAGATTGATTGATAGATGGAGGCCTTAGCCTGGATTTGAAGACTCAAATGACTGAATTTCCTCTGCAGTCAAGTTCTCCAGAGTTCTGCTAACGACATGATTATTTGACAGAGACATGTTACAGAGACATTTGACAGGTCCATTCATCCATCCACCATGGGTGAATGGATTGATTGACTGATTTGCTAGTCTTTTCACTTTAAACTGTGGTTATAACCGGTATCTCATGCTTCCAGGTCATTTTTCTGTTCTCCCTTTGTTCAAGCAGATTTCCAGTTTAGATCTATAATAAAGTTCTATATTATTTCACATGAGCTGAAGCAGCAGATAGTACATCCTGTCTAGTTTCTGGAGCGGATGTGTTTGAAAATGACATAAAAGCTGGGGTGCTGTGGTGGCGCAGGGGCAAAGCACAACCCACATATTGAGGCCTTGGTCCTCATGGTGGCGGTCACAGGTTCAATTCCCAGCCTGGTGACATTCACCACATGTCTTCCCCCTCTCTCATTACCCTCCTTCCTGTCAAACTACTTTCAAATAAAGACCACTAGAGCCAACAAAACCTTTAAAAAAAGAAAATTAGATAAAAGCTGTGAAATTTAATGGCAAAATGTCTTGACAGATTTTTCTTCCTCCATTTTATTCTAAGATTCCTGTCTATGAGACCAGTTTTGACAACTGATCAAAGTTCATTGAATTCTGTTCATTTCCTTTTTTCTTAATCCTTATAGAAGAGAGGACAAAGGGGAGCATTTTATCATCTCCCCTACACATGCAGACAAGGTTTTTATTGGAGCACGGTGTCTAAATTCATCTAAAAGTTATTAGCGTGAACAGGCCAAAACACATTCCTGCTAAGCGGAGTTTCCAACAAACTGCCCTTCAGAGGAAAGTGATCACACAGATATTGTTCTCAGTTTCCACACAAACTTGTGGTTGTGATGTCTCCTTTGATGACAAGCCAGAACAGACAATTAAGAGCGCTCACCACACTCCCCCCCTACACACACACACACACACACACACACACACACACACACAGGGCTTCAGAGTATCCAAACATTTACCTGCGAGGTTCTGAATCTGATTGAACCCTCAGATGCTTATCCAAACGTGCAGATGTCTCAGCGCTGTCCCCCGCCCTTCTCCCAGAAACGTCTGCGAACATCAGTGACACTGGTGAAATGGGAGCCTCCACACCTGCAGTTACAGTGATATTAGGGCTCTGAGCCTTTCATCTTGTCCCAACAGGATCCGGGGAAATGTTGTGCGGGAACATTGGGATGTTGTATACACACAGCAGTTTGCTCGCGCTCCAAGATCTACATCCATGCGGCTCCTTTGAAAGGCCCAGATCGTGTTTGTGAGGTCCTAACGCAGCTTGGAATGCAGTAAAACAGATTTCCTGTCAACAGTTGCGAGTTTTAACAGAATATTACACTAAAAATCTTTGCAGACATTTTAGACGTTTACAGGAAGTTACATGGGAGGAAAGGAAAAGAGGAAGTTGGCTTTTCTTTCTGTGAAGCTTCAAACTGGTGAATCATTTAATGATAAGAAGACTCATTTTTCCAGAAAGTATTAAAGTTTTTGAATTCATTTATATATTTGTTGTGCATACAGAACTTTGCCAGTAATCAGTAATCCATTTGGGGCTCACAAGTAGAAGTGTTGCTTTTTGAAAACCTGGTTTCTTCAAAAAATTGAGACATTTTCCTTCTGAACATCAAACTGAAAGTGTCAGATTTAAAACAGCATTTTAATCACAAATTTTCCAAGATTATTGTTCACACAATGTACAATCAAATGTGAAATATACAAGAGACCACACTAAGATATGTTGAAGAACTTTGCACTGACTCTGTTGTATTAAGGGCTCACAAGCAGAACTGCTACTTTTTTCAAAATTTCAGATTAAAGTAGTTTGAAATGACATTCCTAATATTCCAGTGTAATTTGAAGGCCCACTGAAGCTTTACACACTTTAAATTGTGAATTTTAATGAGTCATTTCAGCTCAGAAGTTTTTATTTTAGAATAGACGGTTCAAGTCTGAACAAAACCTGACAGCCCTATTGGAAAAAACAACATCATTGGATGTTTTACAGGACTGAACAAACTGCATGAAGTGAGATCTTTTTGTTGGTATTTTACTGCTGTGCGTTGACAATCAGAAAACTATTTAAACTGAACAAAGTTTTTTTAGAAAGATGAAGATGAAGACGGATTTTTCTCAGTGAGTCCAAACATGCATCCAAAAAAAGAAATTAAGTTTGAGAATGGCCTAGCCAAAGTTCAGAGATAAATCTGTTGAGTCTGGGAAATATTGCAAAGTTAAGATGTGTGTAAGAATATTAGATATTCTTACACAAATGATTAGTATTTTGTCTTCCGACAGATTTGTTTTAGTTTTCGGTTGATTTTATCACAATCTCAAAATATTCATTCTTGAAAATCTGTCATTTTTTCAAGCAATGGCAGACTTTTTGCATCTACATGACAAATAGTGTCTTAAAGTCTCTTCACATTGTTGCAACTTTTTTAAAAGGTTTCTCACCCTTGCGTGTGAACAGGAGGTGCAAACAAAATGAAAAATCTCAGTTTTGCTACAGATCCACATGGAAAAGGCCTAAAAACTGATCGTCTTTCATTACTTTCCCATCTTTGGATATTGGATCTTGCAAAAGACTTTGACAGAGAATTTGTTAACTGTAACGGTGCCATGTTTCTGGGTGTCTCAGTGCAGATTTCTCCTCCCTTTGTGGTTTTCTGATTGGACCCCTTCACTCCTTGTTATAGTCGCAGTTTGAAAACACTGAAGCATTGCCTCTGCAGTGTGACTGAAGGTAACCGGGACAATGCCAGATCAGAGCCTTCAAACTCTACAGCGATGCTGTTTCATATTCAGTAAAAGAAAACATTCAGATCTGTGTTTCTGCCTGTTGCAGTCTTTGTTATGAAGCAATATTCCGATATGCACCTGCATGCATATCGTCTTCTTTGCGCTAGGCAGCATACTGTTTTGAGAATGCCATTTCCTTCCCTGTGGGCCTTAAACTATTCCTCCCAAGGCACAGGTTTTTTTCACAGCTCTGTCACTGTTCTGTGTTTCCCCCCTTCCTTTCTCTTCTTTTCAGCCTCCCTGTGCTTTCTCGGAGACCTTTAGTGCCTGCAGGTGTATAAATAGAGCTGTTTTCAATTAAGGGCTAACCTCGCCTATAGCGTGCATCTGATCAGTGAATGCCCCTGCACCTGTGGTAATAAAATACCTCGGGGAGTGGAGATGGTGTGCTGAATGCTAATCAGATGTTGCCCCGTTGTTGCCCTGTCTCATTTTTAACGACAACATGCTCCTCCTGACAGCTCGGCTGTGAAAGGGAGGCAAGGAAGGGAGGAAAGAGGAAAAGGGGGTGGAGGGGCGCGAGCAGCACACCACAAAAAGAACAAACAAAAGAGCCGGTGCTCTCATCAAACATAAGTGAAATCTAATACACGATTGAAAACGGAAACTTGGATGAATGGGACGCTTAGTCAGTTGTGTGGTTGTTTGGGTAGGGAGTTGTCAGAATGAGGGGATTGTTTAAGAAGTGCTGGCTTCAGGTTTGGCTCCAATCTCAGGTGGATGAAGTATCTGGTTCCAGAACTTCAGAACACAGAACTTATTTTATCTGACATTCATGGAAACACTAGAGGCTAGCAGCTTTAGCAGCTTTAGCAGCAGTGACTCTCAGTGAAGCACAGTGCACCTGTCAGTCACATTACCTGCATTTCCATTGATCTTAATACTGTGCAAATTGGAATTAAGAAAATAAATACACCTGAAGGAAACAAACTGAGTTAGTTAACCACCATCTAGGGCTGATTCTGTTTTCTCAGAGGACTTCAGCGTAGTTAGCTTCATGTAAGGACTTTGAATTTGAAGTCTTCAGTTTTGTCTCAACCAGGAACAAGAGGACCGGAGAGTCGGTGCAGAGCAGAAGAGAGGCCTCCGTTTCCTCCGTTTCCTCTGCGCTCTGGCTCGGGCCCAGAAGTCCGTGTCAGCACAAGCAGCGACCTGGCGCGCTCACGTCGCTCCTGCGTGGCTTTCATGAGGCTCCCTGCGAACTCTCCACCGTTCCCGGCCACAGTCACGCTCATTGTCCATTGTGCAGTTACGTTTTTACAGTCCGCCTCAAGAATTCTCCGCCTCGCTGCTCTCTATATTAAAAGCGAAGCTATCACTTGTGGTGCCAAGGAAAACCGGTGCCACAAGCGCACACAGTGAATGCATTTCTCTGCCGAACCAACCTCCAGATGCGAAGCAAAAATAAGATTGTGGATGTGACTGACATGAGAAACCTCACGAAGCCGAT